CCCCCCCGCCCCGCATTAGGGCATATGCATTCAAATTGTTTAGAAACATAACGCTCATTTAATTAAAGTTTGAAGAGTTTAATGAATTTAGACTATGAAGTTAAATGCTCAGAATAATAAACATTAAATTCCACTGCTTCATTTCTGATGGGGAAATAGAGCAATGTAATCAGAAAGGGATAGAAAGGGTGCTCTAAATGTATTAGTACTGTTTGACTTTATTAAGCTAGGAAATAGATATCTAAGTATTTGATGTAGTAGTTAAGACACTCAAAAAGATAAAAAATATTTCACAGTAACTTTTTAGAAATCAATTTAATTACTTATTTAGTGAACATTTTCAATAATTATAAGAATTTCTGGGCTGGGCACAGTGGCTCATGCCTGCAATCCTAGCACTATGGGAGGCTGAGGCAGGTGGATTGCCTGAGTTCACCGGTTTGAAACCAGCCTGAGCCAGAGTGAGACCTAGTCTTGAAAAACAGCCAGGCATTGTGGCGGGCAACTGTAGTCCCAGCTACCTGGGAGGCTGAGGCAAGAGAAGTTTGAGGTTGCTGTGAGCTAAGACACCATAGCACTCTACCAAGGGCAACAAAATGAGACGCTGTCTCACCAAAAAAAATAAGAAAGAAAACCAAGTTCCCTGGCTTCAAGAAAACTTTTAATCTGAATACACAATCTCTACTTAACCTGTGTGACATTTACTATCATCCATTTCATTTATAGCTTTAGACCAGCAAGCTAAACTAGTTCTCAGCCAAACAACTGATATCCATTCACTGTAGTTTGTATTGTAGACAAAACTGACTTTATTCTAACTACCTCAGAGATCACCAGGGAAAGTGATCAGGCAGAGAGAACATGGACAGACCATAATTCAGCAGAAACATGCTAAGTTTTTAGAAGCAAGCCTATTTCATCAGCATTATTTGCTCCTAAGTAAATTCCCATTTTGTCCCCATTTTATGTTTTTCAAAGTTTTCACATGCAGTATCTCCTTAAATTTTCAAAAAGCCTCATAAAGTAGATTTATTCCCACTTTACAAAGAAGTGATAAAACTTACTTGTGGTCAAATAACTGTCTTGGTATCCCAAATCTAAACAGAGCTTCTTAGAAGTGGGGCCAGAACCTGGGTCCATTTCAATACATCTTACTATAACTAGCCACATCCTCAACAGGCTTAACATTCTCTACTCTAGCAGAGACAAAGCAAAAGAAATGCTCCATTCCTATTTCTTACACTAAAAAAATTTCTAGATTAAGACTCCAGTGCAGTGGTTTACAAATACTTTGATCACGTAACATTTCAGGGGACATGTTTTCTATGCAACATTGTATGTTTAGATAATCCAAAATCTCTCCTCTCTATTTCAGTCTCCCTATATAACCTAAAATGTAGTAGACCTGCCCATGCTGTATGAGGAAGAGAAAGTAGTATCATTTTCTTTTATCCTAACTGACAAATATCAGGTTTTAATGAAAGAGTAAAGTCAATCTCTGTCAAGAATAGGCAATGGTGACTACTGTACACCAAGAAATGAATAATCTGATCTAACCACACAATCTAATTCTCATCAGGAATATTCTATCTCATTTATGTATAAAAGAGAAGAGACATGTGCCATAAGTACATAATCTTTCATTTTTCAAAAGTATAAAACATAAGGCTTTCCAAGAAGCGGGAGGAGAGATACAGTTTTGTTCATGTCCAGAATAATGAATGAAGGGGAGGAAAAAGAAAGCCATAGAACAGCTGTCAGAGCAGTAAGGCTGGGCAGAACGGCCAATGTACTAGAAGAAAAATGAACATGTGAGTATTGATTATGAGTAAGGAGAGGTGCTCAGTGCTCTAAATCTATCAACTCCTGAAATCATTGTAAAAAAACACACAAAAACCCACCAAGTGTAAACAGAACTAAAATTAAAATAGCCAAATGGGAAAACCTTATATGCTAAGATCTTTCAGAAAAACAACATACCTGTAACCGCTGAACCACTCCTGATCTTAAGTTTCCAAATCCATAGTGGCACTCTGGATTTAAAGCACTTTCTGCTATTTCTTCATAGGGTGTCTGTTCAATTTCCCAATCAAACTCTTCGTCATCATCTTCTACTACTTCCTCAGAAACCTCAGAAGCACCTAATTGTGTTAAATATTAATTTTGTTCAACTATTAAGTTTCCTAGTTACAACTAGGGAAAGAAAGAACACAGGAAAAAATGACTGCGTATGTCATGTACCATAAGACATGTTCAAGAATACTCATGGCTCCATTATTCATGACAGCCCCCAAAATATAACCAATCCAAATACTCAGCAATAGTAGGAGGTATAAAAAATGTGGTGTATCAATACAGTGGAATATTACATCACAAGGAAAACAAACGGACCTCAGCTACAATATGGATAAATCTCACAAAAATAACATTAAGTGAAAGAAGCCAGACGAAAAAAGAACACACAACATATGAATTATACTTGCAACTTAAAAACAGGCCAAATGGAGGACAGGGGTTAACTTGGGAGGAGACAGGGCAAAGTAACTGGAAAGAGGCACAATGTGGGATTTCAGGACAGTAGAAAAGCTCCATTTCTTGACCTAGTTCATGTTCACTTTATTTTTATTTTTTTGTTTGAGACAGAGTCTCACCATGTCACCCTGGGTAGAGTGCCATTGTGTCACAGCTCACAGCAACCTCAAACTCCTGGGCTTAAGTAATTCTCTTGCCTCGGCCTCCCAAGTAGCTGGTACTATAGGCGCCCACCATGGCACGTGCCACAGCACCAGGCTATTTTTTGTTACAGTTGTCATTGCTGTTTAGCTGGCCCGGGCTGGGTTTGAACCTGCCACCTTCACCACCCTCCGTGTATGTGGATGGTACTGTAACTACTGTGCTATGGGCACCAAATCCATGTTCACTTTATGTAATTCATTGAGCTGTACTCTTCTGATCTTAACGCAAAGAGGCTAATATTTTGCCAAAGGTAAAATGCTATTTTAATTAGTTCAAAAATGTGGCTAATCTCCTGAATCAACAGAGTTCTTTATATCTTTTAATTGTATCCCCAAATGAGCTACTTTCACATCTTCACATGACTGCCTTATTACCTAACATAATTTCTTTAATTTCCTACTAACTATATTCCATTTCCACTAGAAACACATAAGTATTCTAAATATTCTTATTTATCTGTACTTCCTTCCAAATGCAGTAAACATACCTATTTCTTCCACAAGTGGTTTTGCCGTCCTGGATTTTCTTGGTGCCAGAAGAGCAGTTAATAGGTTCAGCCCCTCAAAATGCTGGCCAGGAGTTTCTTTGGGCAATCGGATGGTAAAAATTCCTTGAAGATAAATGTATTTTATGCTTAGATAAAAATATTGAAAGACTTCACTAATATACATAAGAAACAAATGTCTTAGCTTTTTTTTTTTTTTTGAGACAGAGCCTCAAGCTGTGCCCCTGGGTAGAGTGCCGTGGCATTACAGCTCACAGCAACCTCCATCTCCTGGGCTCAAGCGAGTCTCCTGCCTCCGCCTCCCAAGTAGCTGGGACCACAGGCGCCCGCCACAACGCCCGGCTATTTTTTGGTTGCAGCCATCATTGTTGTTTGGCGGGTCCAGGCTGGGGATTCGAACCCGCCACCTTAGGTGTACGTGGCTGACACCTTAGCCGGTTGAGCTATAGGCGCCAAGCCTGTCTTAGCTTAATTCTATTTCATAGAGTTCCAAAATTATGCCATTATTACAGAGTTAGTAACTAGATGGACAAGATAGAAAAAGAATCAAACAGCATTTTTCAGAAGCTGTCATTTCTTTTTTGAGACAGAGCCTCAGGCTATCCCCTAGGTAGAGTGCCAGGGCATCACAGCTCACAGTAACCTCCAGCTCCTGGGCTCAAGCCAGCTATCTTTTGGTTGCAGCCGTCATTGTTGTTTGGAGGGCGGGCTGCATTCGAACCCGCCACCTTAGGTGTATGTGGCTGGCACCTTAGACACTTGAGCCACAGGTGCTGAGCCAGAAGCTGTCATTTCTACAAAAAAATTAATCTGTTAAAGCTACAAAATGCTTACAAAATACCACCTTCATTTACGGATAATTTTTTTTTTTTTTTTTTTGTAGCGACAGAGTCTCACTTTATGGCTCTGGGTAGAGTGCTGTGGCATCACACAGCTCACAGCAATCTCCAGCTCTTGGGCTTAAGTGATTCTCTTGCCTCACCCTCCTGAGTAGCTGGGACTACAGGTGCCCGACACAACACCCAGCTATTTTTTGTTGCAGTTTGGCTGGGGCCAGGTTTGAACCCTCCACCCTCTCGACACAACACCCAGCTATTTTTTGTTGCAGTTTGGCTGGGGCCGGGTTTGAACCCTCCACCCTCGTATATGGGGCTGGCGCCCTACCCATTGAGCCACAGGTGCAATCTTATCTACGGATAATATTGAAATCCATGTCAAAGTGGCCCACAGTTGGTGGCTCACCCCTATAATCCTAGTACTCTGGGAGGCTGAAACAGGTGGATTGCTTGAGCTCAGGTGTTCCAGACCAGCCTGAGCAAGGGCAAGACCCTATCTCTGCTAAAAATACAAAAACTGGTTCGGCACCTATAGCTCAACCGGCTAAGGCGCCAGCCACGTACACCTAGGGTGGTGGGTTCGAATCCCTAGCCCGGACCCGCCAAACAACAATGTCGGCTGCAACCAAAAAAATAGCTGGGCATTGTGGTGGGCGCCTGTGGTCCCAGCTACTTGGGAGGCAGAGGCAGGAGACTCACTTGAGCCCAGGAGATGGAGGTTGCTGTGAGCTGTAATGCCACGGCACTCTACCCAGGGGGACAGCTTGAGGCTCTGTCTCAAAAAAAAAAAAAAAAGAAAGAAAAACTGGCCAGGAATAGTGGTGGGCGCCTGTAGTCCCAGCTACTTGGGGGCTGAGGCAAGAGGATCACTTGAGCCCAAGAGTTTGAGGTTGCTATGAGCTATGATGCCAAGGCACTCTACCCATGGTGACAGAGTGAGATTCTGTCTCAAAAAATATATATGATAAAATAAAATAAAATCCAAGTCAAAACTTCTAAAAAAAAATCAATGGCCTGACGAGGAAATAGTTTGAAATTAATTAACAGTTACTAACCATATATATTTCTAGACAAGAAGAAAAAATCAGAACATTTAATGCAATGGAGAATGGTAGCAGTTATAAAAATATAAATAATCTTAAATAAAGCCACTCTGGCTTGATAAGATTTCTTTGCTATGTCAAGAGATAAACCCTAAAGTCAGACTCAAATTCTACATGCTTCTTTTCTTTCTTCTTGACTGGGTTTATCAACTTTATCTAAGCTCCCCTGGGAACTTAATGCATTCCTTACTCCTCTCACATTTTAAAACATTTTATGTCTTCAGTGTACTAAACTGTATTCTATTATGTCAAATACAACTCAATCCAAATACTTCCATACATACAACCTTCCTTAACTCCTGTATACTTCTAAAATTTGATAAGTCTGTTTCAACATGCAACCTACCTACAATTAAAAAGTTTACAAACCCAGGAAACCATTTTGATTAATACCTCATTACCACATAAATTACACAGCACTGGGGTTAGAGCTTTGTTGTTTCACTCTTTCATCCCTCCTCAACCTAGTTCACTGGGGTCAATAAATATTCATTCCATAAATCACACTAGAGTATATAAAGTATTCGTTTTCCAGATCCCATGAAAAAGAAGCCAGGAGTTTCTATAAAAGGAAAATAAATCATTTCATGACTAGCTAAAATCAGGGGCTTATCAATCATGAAAGGAAAATTCATTTAGTCTTTAAATGCCACCCACAGACGGTTTCTCTCTCATCTACTTGTTATTAAAATTCAAGTTTGAAAATTGTACAGGAAAGACTCCATTCAAAATCTGATAAATCATCTACATTTTTTACCATCAATCATCTCATACGTTCTAATTTTTACTTTTAAACATCTACTAAATATAGTACTGCTAGGAAAAGGAACCAGAGTATTGAACTAATTTAATTTTACATTGTGAAGAATATTGTGAAATACATTTAAAAAAAAGAGAAAATTTTAATTGCCAAAAAATCACAAATAACAGGCACTGGACATTCAGAAATCAGAGTGACAGGCTTGGCACCTGTAGTTCACTGGTTAGGGCACCAGCCACATGCTCCAGGGCTGGTGGGTTGGAACCCTGCCCAGGCCTGCTAAACACCAATGACTACAACAACCAAAAAAAAGCCGGGCATTGTGCTGGGCACCTGTAGTCCCAGCTACTTGAGAGGCTGAGGCAAAAGAATTGCTTAAGCCCAGGAGTTTGAGGTTGGCGCTGTGCCTATGGCTCAAATGGCTAAGGCGCCAGGCACATACACCTAAGGTGGCGGGTTTGAAT